ATGGCGAAGCCCACCCGTCGGCCTCTTTATTCCGAATGCACTGCTCTGATCTTAATGATATCACCACTCCTCGTCTTGTACATAATTTTCAACAGATAGATAGATAGATAGATAGATAGATAGATAGATAGATAGATAGATAGATAGATAGATAGATAGATAGATAGATAGATAGATAGATAGATAGATAGATAGACAGACAGACAGACAGACAGACAGACAGACAGAGAGACAGACAGACAGGCAGACAGATAGATAGATAGACAGACAGACAGACAGACAGACAGACAGAAAGAAAGAAAGATAGATAGATAGATAGATAGATAGATAGATAGATAGATAGATAGATAGATAGATAGATAGATAGATAGATAGATGGGCAAAAAGCCTGCTGTGCGCAAAAAATGCTTTACATTTAAAAACATGTAAGAGTGAGTGCCGCGCTCGGGCGACGAAAAAATAAAGCATGAATGTGAGATGCATGTTTCATTTCTACGTGAATATTTTGTGTGGTCGAGGTGGTACGCATGTCTAGCCATACTCACGAGAATGCTTATGCACAATGGCCATCGTTGGCTGAATGTTCGCGCAGTTACCATGTTCTAAAAACAAAAAAGAACAATGCAGCAGAACCTTCAGTAGTTCCCCCTTCTTTAAGCACAGAATTCGGCAGTCGTTTGGTAGATGCCTTCAGCTTGGCCATCTGCACATTAAGATTTGGAAGCAGCTTGTATTGCGGGAAAATGCCTGGAGTGCGGCCTGAATGGTGACGACAACTGGTAAACCACTTGCTCACAAGAGCAGGACTGTTTACCTTGGTGCTTAACTCGCTGCTACCTCCTACATAAGTTCACCTAATAATCATCGGCTCTCAGCCCTCAGCGCCTCTGCCTCGACTGGCCAAGCGGGCGCTAAGACCTGCAACCCAGCGGAGAGAGCGAAGAATCACTTCGTCTGGACACGTTACCATTAGAATCTGAACTTGGCTACATTTAACGCTAGAACGTTATCTAGTGTGGTGAGTCTGGCTGTGCTATTTGAGGAATTAGAGGGTGGTAAATACGATGTAATAGGGCTCAGTCGAGTTAGGAGGACAGATGAGGCTATACACTGCTGAAGAACGAACACGTCCTACGCTATCGTGGCTTAGTTGGTAGAAGAGAACTGGGCGTGGGATACTTTACCCAAAAAATATAGCTGGCAACATATAAGAATGCTATAGCATAATTGTGAGGGTAGCAAATATTTAATTAGGCTTAATAAGATGTACAATATGTACAATATGAAGGGTGCACAGGCCTACGCACCTATTTCCTGCTCTTATGCACATTTCCTTGAACGCTTCTAGGAAGAGATCAAATAAGCAATAAGTGAAGTAAAAACACTGTATACTGTACTGATGGGAGACTTAAACTCTAGGGTAGGCAAGAGGCAGGCCAGAGACTGTGCGGTGGAAAAATATTACATCATTTCTAGAAAAGCCAGAGATGAGTTACTTCTATGCCTCGCACAACGCAGCAATTTACGGATCCTAAATACTTGCTTCAAAAAGTGGGCTAACCGTGAGTGAACGTACAGGAGTCCTAATGTCGAAACTAAAAGTGGAATAAACTTGATACTGTGTTCATGCCCGGGCATTGTACAGTATGTGGATATAGTTGTCAAAATATGATGCACTGACCATAAAATGGTAAGATCTCGAATTAGCCAAGACTTGAGAAAAAAGGGGCAGGGACTGATACGCAAGAAGCCAATGATTGAGCTAGCCCTGAAAGTGAAAGTACAGAAATTCCGAGTTTTGTTTCAGAATAGATACGTGGCTCAAATCGAGAAAACCAACCTTAGCGTTGATGCCATGAATAATAACCCGGCTAGTATCATTAGGAATTGGGAATAGAAGTCGGTGTTACATTCACTATTTGTTTTACTTATTTACAGTTTACTGCAGTCACAAAGGACCATGCAGGTGGCCCCGCCATGGTGGTCTAGTGGCTAAGGTACTCGGCTGCTGACCCGCAGTTCGCTGGACCGAATCCCGACTGTGGCGTCTGCGTTTCTGATGAGGCGGAAATATAAGCGCGTGTGCTCGCGCTTGGGTGCTCGTTAAAGAACCTCAGGTGGTCGAAATTTTCGGAGCCCTCGACTACGGCATCTCTCATAATCATATGGTAACTTTGGGACGTTAAACCCCACACATCATTATCATCATCATCATCATCATCATCATCATCATCGAAATCATGCATGTGGGAAATTTTATAGTTGTAACTTAACAAGCACTGGCGTAGCCGAAGGGCACACAAGTTCCCAGGAGAATCTATCGGCATATCTAGAAATATAAAAGGAACAAAAATACCAGCTTAACTTATTTAGACAACAAAATAATACAGTTTACAGGAGAGTGACATATATATATAGGATAAATGAATAACAACAAAAACACATTTTCACCCTACCGCTTTAATGTCTCCCATTATAGAGTGAAAAAAAAACATTACAGCTGGCAACTGCAGAGAAGAAAAAAAAACAATGCAAGCTCTCCCCTAAATAAGTCAGATGTGTTAACACGGTATTTGCTATTTATAAAGTGACACTAACTAAAAAGAGCAAAAAATGACTAAAATCAAAATAAAAAGTGATGTAAAAAATAAAAAGTCGCACTAACACTCAGTTTACTAAATTCCTAGATGAGTAAATAGCGCACTTTCCAATTTCTTTGCAGATTCTTAAGAAAGAATGTTTTCGGCAGTGAATTCTAATCTGAACTAGTTCATGAAAAAAAGCGTACATAAAAAGAATATTGCGTGTTTGATGAGAAAGTATATTATGCGCATGTCAATTTCTCTACGTGACATGACACTGGCAAGCTATCTCAAGTGACGAAGAACATCATCAAGAAACTTCAGACCATGAAAGCCTCAAATGCAACAGACCAAGAGGAGCCGGCGCAACTTTCAAAGTTAATCAATTGGCGTATGAAAGCCGGCATAAAAGATATAACACGCAGTTAATAGATCATTCTTTGAAGAACGGAAAAGCTTCAAATCTGGAAAGGCAGAATTGTGCATGGGGAAAAAATTAAATGTATGTATTGAGAGAAAAGAAGGCAAGAGGGAGAGAGGGATAAAGATGCAAGGAATGGCAGAAATGGAGGGCAAAGTCACTACCAATAGAAATGGGATGGTTGAGGTAACACATTATTTACAGAAGAGGTAGCAGACATATCTAGAGCAGTCGAGACAATCAGAAGGGTACTTTCAGAAGATGTATTAGACTAGAGGAATTCGACATCCTACCAGTAATCATAAGCGAACTAATGGAAGCGCAAGAATGAATGCGAAAATTGGGGGACTCTTAAGCTTCGCGTTTAAGAGTTGAACGCGATAGCAAAATCCGGCCCCTAGTTCACGCTTCAACTACGAAGGGCATAATTAATATGTTTTGTTACATACACACGCATTCACACAAACAAGGTCACGATAGATTGGACGAGCGTGCTATTATCAATGACTGTGCTCGTTTTCCTCGTGACACCTGTCGAACAATATTCTCTAAAGGAACCTGAAACAATTTTTCAAGTAACTAAGAAATGAATTCACTGGAAGAGCTTATCTCCTCGCGATTGCAACGACACAAAAATTTTAAGAATCTTACCAGTGCGAGTAGAGTTACAAAGGCTTGTCGCATGCTACAATCGCATTATCTCTTCTTTCGTCCCGACGAAAGCGCTGGAAGCTAAGCCAGGATAGGTGGCACGGCAAAGAAACTACCGCGCCTCGTGACATATAGCACTTTTTTTATTCGAATGCGCAGCTTTATCGGTGTGATCGCGCACGCACGCGTGGGCAAGGTGCGGCCTCACGCGGCTATCTTGGTAACTTGATTTTTCAATCACAAACGCACAGATTATTTTTTGCTCACAACCAACGGGGCTGACGCCGGTGGCGGGTTTTTTGCGACAGGAACTCTTGAACGCTATCGCGTTAAAAGAGGCAAAGCCGAGGGTGATAATCTGGTAATGCGAGACCTACGCAGACACGGTATAGAGAGTGTTTACTCGCTCGCCACCGTGAAAACGAAGTGTCTCCTGACGAAGAGCGTATCAGAATTATAGAAGAATGCAAACGTATCATTCCACAAAGGAACGGGATTTTATGGGCTTCAAAGAATACAGGCTGATCAGCTTACTCTAATTTGTCTACAAGCTATTTACAAAACCATTCTCTAAAAAAGTTAGGGAAACAATAGAGTTCAATCAACCAAAGTCCTAAGCAGGATTTCGTACAGGCTACTAAACAATATACCGCATTTATGCGGTCAATCAAGTTATAGAGAAATGTGCGGAATGCAACAAACCCCTATACGTAGCATTTATAGGTTACGAGAAGACATTTGATTCGGTAAAGATATCAGCAATTATGTATGCACTGCGTACTCAGGGCGTCGACTGAGCCTATATTGACACTAGAAAAAATCTACAGTGGCTCCACAACAATTTTAGTGCTCCATGAGGCATGCGAGGAAATCTGAATAGAAAAGTGTGTCAGGCAGGGGGTCAGGCAGAAGGACATGATCCCTCGAATGCTACTCTCCGTAGTGCCACTATTCTTGGATTGGCTGCTGCGCGCGCTTTGCTTGAGTGTGCGGAGAACGGGCGCCTCTCTGTCTCCTGGATAGTTTCCGTACATGGCAGATCGTTGGTACAGCTTACACGAAGCAAAGCGGCCGGCGCGTTGAAGACGCTTGCGCTCGGCTTTGTTGGCTCTCGTCTCGGCGGTGTTGCCCGTGCGCCGTCTGCATTCGCCAAAGCGATCGGACACATGCATGGACAGATGAATGGATGGACGGTCGCTTCGCCCAACTCCTCATCATTCCCTCCGTGCATATGCTGTGCCTCTTTTCTTGGCCATCTGTTTGCGTATATCACGCAACGTCATACATGTGACGAAAATACGTCAGTGGGGCAGTGGTGGACCCCGGCATAAAGCACTTTCGTGTTGAAAAAATTGTCAACATTATGATGCGGTAATATTTATTATTTTCCAATGTTTATGAGACATTTATTGTGTCTACAGCAGTTTTTTGCTTCGTCGAATTCGTTGAATTTTATAAGGCCTGAGCTTTCACGCACTGGAGGATTGCCACATGGTTATACGTTGGCGAACACCTTACTCCTCGGACTTTTCCTCGTTCCTACCAAAAAGGTTTGCAAGTGCATTTGCTGCAGCTTCGATTGCGCCGGGAGCAACCGCTTCAGCGCTGTAGGGGGCAATGATCAGCGCAACTGAAAAACAAAATAAAAGAAAGAAAACAGAAAGTACACTTGGAACAAGAATGTGAATACGCAGGATATGTACAGTATGTATATTTTTATATCCAGATACATTTGAAAAGTATGCTTTTACCTCGATATGAACAAATACATTTACGATGTATCGATTACACTACTACAAAGAACTCATGTTTTTTTTTCACAAGGGCAGTACAATGTTATGAAGAGCTTCCGAAATGTGTACATTTTCTCAGTGTTAGTGTAGGTACACTAACTATATGCATTTATGCACGGTTATCAGAATGTGACGCTCCTGTTCACGTTTTGCGTAAACGTGTTATTGTAAATGTGGCAGCACTTTGTGCAAGAAAAACGAAAACTGGGAGTGAAACTTTAAAACACTGCTAATACAGCGGCTTTCTAGTCTTCGCTCCAGTGCCAAGATAAGTTGCCGCCAACCATGGATAAGTTGCCGCTAACTGGAATACATTTTAACATTACTTGACAATCAGTAGAAGTCACCTATGGGTTACTTTGGTACGTAGTTGCTATGTAAGCTTAATCCTTGTGTGCTAACATGAGCTTCATTTGAAAGCGTGAAGCCACCATGCTCTAAGAGGTGAAGGTTGCATGTCTGAATGAGTAGTTAAAGGCTTGTTCAGCATCTAACTGTTGTATAGGAAATTTGGTGCTCAATGCGAGAACTTTTTCACGTCTTTATGCGCCGGCATTATCAGAAATCCAGGAAGTTTTCTCACAGTGCGAGATACCTTAACGTAAGTCTCGCTAGGACGTCACTGAGCCCCAGATTGCTTATGTAAAGCTTGAATATGAGATCTTTGAACGCTGGTTAGTTGACTCTTAGAGGGACGTTCAACTTGCGCGACAAGAGCAGACTGAAGCAACGAGCAAATCTGACAGCCTGTAGTGCTTTCGCTGTACTTTCCTTTTCTTCTCATTTTTTGGGCAGCTTTAACGTCATAGAAAATATGTTAAGCGAATAGTTCATTCAAATACGATTGCTTAGACTTACCCAGTGCACTAGCAAGCCCCATAGCAAGGTACTTGGCAAAGAAGCTGTCCATGTCTCACGACTGCGAAGATTAAAGATAAAACGAGTTATCCCTGTGAAAACTACAAACGTGTGGGAAATCATGTGCGTTAAACCACAGTGAGCAAAGAACTTACCACTGTGTCATGTTCTTTGGCATTAAAGATGAATGAAGAAATGGAGCACTGATTACAATATTTAGCTGTGCTTGCTAGCTTATTTCTGAATGTTCATCACAGATGCTGACAATTTTCTGAGAGGAGCCTTAAGAGAATACATGATATGCGGTATTAATGCAGACACCGTCTTTCAAAATGAGTGGGCTTAAGCTATTGGATTGTTACATTCAATGTTCGGTGTCCAAATACTCAGTGAAAAAAATGCTAATCACATAAGAAACTCGTGCACTTCCCCTTACAAGCATTTGTAAACTATGTGTGCGGTCAATATAAAAATGCGCAAATTTAAAGGTTAGTTTTACTCACAATGTTTTGAGACGGTATCCATTCAGCGGCTTTAATTAAACACGTTTATTACATGAAAAGTACTCCTACATAATGACCTAGTTGTCCATACAGAAACACGCCGCTCCCTCGCGATCTAGGAAGCCCTGGGGCAGTGGACGAGTGCTGTTCTTATAAGCTGCCTCTTATAACACGCGCAACAGGCGATGCCGGCAGGGAGTAGTCGTCTGCTGCCAACAAATCGAGAGTGATGTGCCGGCACGGCGAGAGAGCTGCAGACATCGCCCGTTACGTGAGCGTAGAGGCAGCGTAAGCTAACAGACCCCGTGTCCACCACCGAAAAATGGCCATTTCATTCGTCGATCGCTGCTGGCAAAAAGTGGGCATGTTTTCGTTTGTCGTCGGTTGACGGAGCTGTATGCAGCCGTGGCGCAATACCGCTGCAGAGCACAGACCTCACGCTCTAGTGTTCCCTTTCATATACAGCGGCAATGTACACCCGTGGTGAATATTTCGCAGGCCATGCTTCCTTAGAAATACATGGGAGAGTGGCCTGTGAACTTTTAATCTCCACCCCCGCCCCCTGTACATCTCGAACCCATGTAGGCAAAGAGAAAGCGTTCGAAACAGCCAAAAGTGCCGGCATAAGAAACATGCGACGGTTGTTGAACGCTTTCTGTCTCCTCCACCTCATTATAGCTTGCCTGCTCTAATATACAAAAAGGTTCTATGCTGCAGATATGAAGCAGTTTATTTTTGGCACTTGTTTTCTAGTTCACGTAATATTACCAAGGAGCTCCTGATGACTATAATGACAATATACCAAACAATGCAAGACCCTTGCGTGTCCGCATCCCGGTATGTGTAGGTTGCGGGTGGTAGTGGCCAATTTTGGACTGTTTTATACAACTTGCGGATTTTTAAAGTGGATTGATGTTTAAGTGCACTGGTGTTCTAGCCCATAAACCTTTCAAAAAGTGGTCGTTGTGCCGGATTGTTTAACCCTGCTCGTTGAAGTTAGCCGGGCAAAACTTTCGCAGGGAAGGTACCGCTGTGTGTTCCACACTATAGAGCTATTTTTGAATCTTCCACGCAATACGTCGATAAATGTTTTTTAAGAGAACGATCTAATGTTATTGCACAGTTTTCTATATTACTTATAAAGCAGTTATATTCTTTGCAAAAAGTCATTTGAGCACGCCCACGACTAATTACAAAGCTGTAACCTTGCAACAAAATGTTCGGATCTTCAAAAGCTATAAGCACTAATTTCTTGCTCAAGAGATAAGAGTCACATTGCAGCAGAGAACGTGTAGAGTATATTGGGTTGCCGATATATCAAGATAGTTGTTAAAGTTGGGAATGGATTTGCGACGTATGTTTGGCTCGGATGACACTAGTATTTTTTCAGCTGAAGCGTTATGGTTACAAAAAAAAAGCGTACTATACAGATAGTCAATAATTTTTGAAGTAGTGACCCCAAAATACGCTGCATCAGATATTTCGCAAAAAATTGCATGCAACTACTGCTGATACTGCATTGAAACTTTCATACCACCTAAATAAAGTTAATTATTCGATTGAGTGTTTTCAAATACCTCCTCCTATTTTAAAGACCATGTCTCGTGACTTTGATTCGGCTTAACGGGAAATGTCTAATTTTCAAAACGGTTAATAATACAGCAGAACGTTTCCCCGGCTAATGTGACACCGCTCTGCTCGAAAATACGCATCTGTGAAAATTATTTCTTACCGGTCTGGCTTTCGATTTTGTTAACTACGTTACCTAAAAGAACGTGTCTATAGACATGTGAATTTAAAAAAAAAGGTCTGGCTAATTCCTTTGGAGATTCAAAAATGCACTTTTAATACCTCGTTCAATAGAGCTCTTCAAATTACTATGCTGAAATGGTTGCTTCGAGTACGTAAATAGTTCTGTTAACTAAAAAAGAATACGACGGAGGACAGTTGTTGCAAGCGGTTGCTCATATTTGTTCTTTGCGTATGTCCAAAATATTTTTTCGACTCGAAGTATGAAGTACTAGTGTTTACTTTTTTCGAAATCAAGAACAGAAGCTTTCAGGGAATTGAAGTCTTACCGTATTTGACAAAAGAGGTGCGTGATCTGAAGACCCGATGCTGTTGTTTGAACGCGCAGAAGAGGGTTGGTCCTTTTAAATGCCACGGAAAGAATTCCGACTCATTAAGTTAACATGTTTGGATGGCAAAGAGCTTTGGACAGAAAATTGAACTTTTGAAGCGGACAGGCTAAGCATGCGTTTCACTTTTTGAGTTGATGATTATAAGAATGCACATGTTCATTTTATTTCTGCACACGTGTGAGATGAGTGACGGGAAACGTCAAACACTATGAGGATAAAATAGCAGCTTGAAATGCAGAGAAATACAAAGTTAGCCTAGTTTTTCCACAGCGTGCCCATTTATAGAAATTCCACGGTGTAAACTTTATCGCTGTTTTTCTTTAACTGTCATAAAACAATATACCTGCGAGGGTAATATAACTGATAGGCATGTGAATGACAACGCATCTAGTGAATACCACCCAATTACTGCGCGACACGATGTGCAACTCTGAAAGTTCACGGACAAATTTCGGGCACAAAACCATATTATATCTCACACGTCTAGCGATCTTGTAGGCCACAGGAACAGAACATGCTGCTGCGAACCTCACTTTGTCCTTCACATTTCAAACGAATATGCGAAATATATTTTTATGGTGCCAAACTCACTGAGATACATTAACAAAAACGCCACGTGGCATCAAGGTCTCGCCAGTGCCGTGTCATGTTGTAATAGAAGATGAAGCTCTATGACAGGGTATACCCAACCAGGTCACGTATGCGTCTTCATTGAAGGGTTGGGTGTTCGTGTCTTGAATCAAAACACCTAGGAGCAGGTTAAATGACACTTTCTTGTTCAGTATGACACAGATAGAGAAGTATAGTATTGCCAATAACATTTTGCTCACCTAAAAACGTGAAGGTGGCTACGTGAGGGCAAAATATATTGTCGCGGGTTATAAATTACAGGGGGTTTATTTAAAAACATGGACGGTGGAACTTGCTTTGCTTGCTTGCTTGTTCCTTTCTTTTGTGGCTCTCACCCACTAAGGGGGATTGGCCAAGAAGCCGGTGGTTAATGCAAGTAAATACCTATAGATTTTCTAGATTAGGGGATATGATTACTGTGTTTTGACTGTGAAATTAATTTGGCGCAATGTCAGAAAAAAAAGAAAAAAAAGGGGGGGGGGGGAGAAATAATAGAATTTGTTGAATATCTGTGGTGGAATCGTTATATGAAATTCTCCTAAAAGTTGAATCATTGCAGTGTATCAGCTAAATACTAAGTGGTAGTGTGACTAGTAAAATTCGAGAGCTGATTGCTGACTCAGCAAGGTAGTCTTCTTGTGTTATATATGAATTCGCAGAGAGCCCCGCAGATGTTCCATTCGCTATATCCCAATGAAGTGGCCCCAAAAGACAAAATATTGGGAGTATTAAGTGATATTCCTAACTTTCTGGATAAAATTTCGAAGCAGTTTTTTCTTTGATTTTTGAATCGGTGACATGTGATGAGAAAGTGGTCGATATGTTCAGGTTCGTTACAGCTTGAGCACAGAGGGGATGGCACCAGACCAGACCTGTTTAAGTAGAAATTAAGAGGTGGTACACGGCAACGTAATTTTGTTACCAATACTTCCAATTACGCGTGGGACACCATTTATTATTCCATGTG